CCTTTGGGAGGAGTACGAAGGGGGTCAGTCCACCCAGGGGTCGTCCGGCTGAGCTGGTTCTGCCCCCTGCCCTTCCCCACGTGGGAAGGGGAGAAATACCCAGAGTTTACAGCTGTCAGGGCGATCGGTGTGTGGGGGGCGCTCACTTCCTCCCGGCCACCCCAGGGAGCCTCCAGACATTTCAACTAGGAAGCAAGAGCACAGATTTCAGCCAGAAACCGAAACATTCCGCCACAAACTCCAGTCCATCTCCCAAATTTTAAAAGGCGCATTTGCCAGCAATTAAGACATCACGAACTCTTCACCGCGTGTCAAGTCTCTACACACTCGCGTGACCTCGCTCCTCGTCTGAGAATACCGCTCTTTCTTCGTCCGTTCTGTGGGAGACGCCTCACCTTGTGCAGGTCCCCGATCCCTCAGACCGTGAGCCAGGCTGGGCTCTGCAGACCCCCCAGACGCCCCTGGAAACAAGCTCAGGGACCCACCTTCCTGCCCACCCTGCCTTTCCGGCCGCGGCCCACCCGGAAACACCGTGACCCACCAGGCCAGCTCTGTGGGCTCCCTCAAATCCTCAGAACCTGACAGGGCCACCCTGTGACTGTGCAGGGAAGCCTGCCAAAGGGGTTCCCTTCTCCCCGCCCGAGATGGGCCCAGGGCTGACCCCTCCCTGTTCTGGCCGGTGGCGCCCGCAGCATGGACAGTCGCTGCCCCTTCTGGGTCACTGTGCCTGGCTCACAAGGCCCTCATCTCTGTCCATTGAGGTGCCCCCCAGAAAAGCTTGGGAAGGTGAGCCCCAGGTCCCACCAGGTGAGGTGGGGTCCCCGGAAGCCACTGCACATCCTGCCTGCGCCCTGCCCCAGCACGGGGATGAGTGGCCAGCACAGGGACCCCAGCCCAGATGTGCAGGCCTGTCCCCTCCAGCAGACACCACGTAGCCACCACGGCCCTGGGGTAGCTGGGCCCCGCCCTGCAGACTGCGCGTGCTCAGAGCCCTCCACTGCCTGGGGCCTGCGTTTCCTGCAGAGGACGAGGGTGGGGGGCGGGGGGGTGCGGGGAAGGGTCCTGGGGGTGGGGAGCAGAGACTGGCTCCCCCTCGGGTCTGCTTCCTGCACTGGAAGTCGAGAGCTCTGAGATACCTGTGCAATCACCTGGAGAGAAATCTGGGTGCGCACGTGGGGGGCCAGAGCTCCCGCCGTGGACCCCACGGCCCCCTGAGTGGGGTCTGGGGCAGAGAGTGGGGTGCAGACCCCCATCGCCCCTGGAGCTGGGATCCCACGGAAGAAACACCCCAGGATCCAGGACGGGCGCCGTGAGTAAAACCGAAATTTCACGGCTCATGGAGGATGCGGTGGGAGCCAGCGGCGCTTCCTCCGGCTCTCAAGGGCGGGGCTACCGCGCGACTCAGCAATTCCTCTTCTGCGTGTTTACCCCGAAGAGTGAAAAAACGGATCCACAAAGACGTCTGTGCCCCCGGTCCCTGAAGCCTTGTTTATGTGGTCGAGACACGGAAGCCACCTAAGTCACCATGTCCAGCAGCAGACGAACGGACAATGGAGATGTGGCACGTCACCCGAGGGAGCACCGCTCGGCCCCTGAGAGATGAAACACTGCCACCTGTGACAAGGCGGGGCACCTCGAGAGCATCGTGCTAAGTGAAATAAGCTGCACAGAAAAGGGCAAAAACTACGATTTCAGTCACGTGTGAAAATATAAAACAAAAAGCAACAAACGAACAAAACCAACAAAAACGAGCTCATGGCCGCACAGCAGAGCAGAGGCCGGCAGAGGGGATGCGGCGGGGACGGCGAGGACGGAAGAGGGTGCCGAACACGGTGACGGGAGGGGACAGACCTCGGGTGGCGAGCCCACTTGGCGTACACGAGGTCGAGTGATGACCTCGTACCCCCGGAACGTGTATCACCTTACTACCCAATGCCACCCCAATAAGTCAAACACCAGGGTTTCAAACGGCAGAGCTCACAGCTCCGAGGTGGCTTCAGAGTCTCGAGTGAAGTGGGGGTCCCTCTGCACTGCTGCCCACTCAGGGAGGAGGGCCCCTTCCCGACCAGTGCCCCCCTCAGGACACTGAGGTTCCAAGCCCCCGGACACAGCCCTGGCCCGGCTCCGAGAGCTCAGGCCCCCCGGAGTCACTGACCTGCAGCCAGCCTCCATTTCTCTGGCCAGTCGTCCCTCGCCTTCCCCTCAGGCCGGATGACGACACCCCTCCTTAAGGAGGGCAGGAGGTGGGCGGGCTGACGACAGCAGTGTCGGGGTGACAAACTCCCCGCCTCCAGCTGGCCCGGGCCTCCTGGGGTTATTTCCCAGGAAAGGAAGTGGGTGACGCTCCAGAGAAGCAGCGGGCCGGCTGAGACAGCACCGGAGACAGCTGGGGAGCACGACGGAGCGTTCTCGCGGTGTGTGGGGGAGCCCCGCCCTGCTCCCCCTGCCCCCCCCACCGGCTGTGGTCTTGCCGGCCGCACGCACAGACCCTGGCACGAAGGCCACTCGCTCAGGGCACTGTGCGCACTCACACAGCCCCCTGCTGACGGGGTGACCACCCACACGCATGGACACAGACTCGTGGCCAGCGGCCGGCCGTGAACCCCGGACCCGGACGGGCCGACTTCCCGCCGCCCCGCTGCAGCCCCCCTGCCCTTCCCGCCCCTCCGCCGTCTGTGGCCTCACGCCCCCAAGCCTGCCCACCCCCTCAGAAGCCTTCTCTCCAGGCCACCCCTCCTCCAGGCCAGTCCGGAATGCCCCCAGCTCCCCCAGGCCTCTGCCCTCGGAGCCCGGGTGAGGGGTGTCTGCTGCACCTTCCTGGGGACGCCCCCATGCACCCCGAGAGTGGGCTGTCTCCTCAGCGAGCCCCACCTGCCCGGGGCAGCTCCTTCACTCAGTCTGCAGGCTGCGGGGGGCTGGGAGCTCTCGGACCCCAGCCCTGCCCATGCACAGAGGTGGAGCTGAGGCCAGGGGGGAGCGGCCGGCCTGGGCCTCCTGGCCAGAGTTCCCTGGGGAGGGGCCTGGTCCCCACCCTTTTCCCAGGCCTCCGCGGGTCTCTC